GGCAGGAGACAGGAAGAAGCAGCTGCTCTGCACAGCTGTGGCTCCGGCACAGGGGAGTGAGGAACCCACCGGCATTCAACCGAGGCAGCGGGAGGAGGATGTGCACTGAGACGCCATTCACCCTGGGGCCCCCACCTTCAGCTCTGCCTTTCAGACCTGCGCCGCCCCACATCTCCCCCTCTACCTGCCCGGAGCTTTCTAGCCAGCCTCCTCACAGCGCCCACTCCCTGCTCCAAGTCTAGTCACAGCCTGGAGGCAGAGCCAGGCAGACAAGTGGAGGGAAAACATGAGCCAGACTGGCCTGCAGCCTTCCTGAGCTTTCTGCCCCTGGGGAATGCTGAGAGAGGGCCCAGAGCAAGCAGCCAGCCCCCTGGGGGGTTACTGAATTAAATCCCCCACGTCTAGAGGAGCTGTGGGGCCCATCCAGCCAGGGAAGGGCCCTGTGCTCGCACAGGCATCAGGGCGTAAAAGCAGCCACGGCCTCGGCGAGCTGCCGGGTGATGTGCGGAAGGAGACGCCTGCACGGCAGGAGGCAGAGTAACGTCACGGATCCAAACCTGCCTGGAGGCTGGGAGGAGCAGGGCCTAGGGACGCTGACTTGGGCCCCACGCGGTTTACAGCTGGGGAGGGAGGTGCTGGGAGGAATTTCAGAGACAACTGACCGAGCCGGGGTGAAGGGCGTCACGAGGGCGGGTGAAGTTGCCAAGTCCCTCAGACGAGAAGGACAATTTGCACCAGCCAGACCCTGCCAGCACCCTGAACCGTTCCCGGCTGGGGAAAGGGGGTCGCTGGGGCCCCTAAGAGCCCTCTGGCCCACATGCCACAGTGCTCAGAAAAGCAGGGGAGGGCGCGGATTCCAACGCCTCCCTACCGAGCCCTGCAGGAGCCAGGGCCGGACGCCGGGCAGAGCCAAGGGCTCGGAGAGGGGCCAGAAGGGCCGGCGCAGGCAGGAGAGCTTCACGCTGCCCACGCTCCCTGCACGCGTGTGCTGCACACAGGCTGGGCTCGGGGCTCACGTGCGGTGGGAGAGGAGGTTTTTCCGTGACCGGCCTCCCCTTCCCCACCAGCCCTCGGCCACAGGGCTCCCCCGTCAGCTGGGGACTTGTCCCGGCAGCACCACAAGGGGAGGC